GGCACACAGGGACAGCTCGCTCCTGTGCCTCATATACATCATGCGTATCAACTGAGACACCTGTGTTGAACAGTGATACAATTACTCTTACATAATTGTTATGCCGTAACCATTTTCTGTGTGTAGAGTTGCCAGTCAACATTCCACTACTCCCATAAAATAATTGTCATTTAACTGTTCACCTTTCTTTTCAATTTTATGTAATAGGAACAGTAGGGGGCATTCAGAGCTTTAGATGCTGGATATGTCTGGATTTGATCCTATGATTCTGGTTAACTGCATTTTAAATGTGTAGAATGCAGTTCAGTTAAATTACAGTATACCATATTAAATCCATTAATTCATGTAATATGCATTTACGCATCACGAGCTTTTCATTTACTTCTTTGTTGTGTTGTTCATTACTTTCACCTAAGTTTTTAGAAGTATTTCTTTTACATCAAATTTTAATAAAAAATAGATAACAAGCAAAGATGTATTACAAATTAGTTGCAACAATTTTTTAATAATGAACAAAATTATTTTCTTAAACTCAAAGCATATAAATTCCTAATGTGATCCTTGCCAAAAAAATACAGGGAAAAAACGTCTGACTTGAGTATATTATTTGCTGTTACGAAAAAATGTCAGGAAAAATGGCTATCCTTCTCCTCAACTCTCAGAAGAAAAAAGAAGGAAGAAAAATAGCCCAGGATATCTTATAAGCTGTAGCTTCAGCTCCACAGATCTGAGAGAAGCTATGAGAGCTATGATGAGCTACTCGCCTTATACAGCTTATCAGCAAGTAAGTAAAAGCCTCAGAAACCTACAGACTCATAAGAATGTGCAATAGGTATTAGGGTGAGTATGCCACTCTGGTGTTATCTGAGGATATATGGGTGGAGATGGCTTTATATCAACATGACATTTCCCTCATTTCATGATATGGACAATATTCTCCTGTGGAGAGTGCTAATTAGCAGATAAGTCAGTTTCAGCAAAGTGGTCCACCTACTATAACTGGCCACTGTCTAGAGTGGAACACCAGGGGATTTGCAAGGTCAGAAGATGCAAGGTCAGAAGATCTGTGTATGTATGAGTTTAACTTCAAAGTTTAATATGACCAAGACTCCCTCAAGAGACTTAAGGTCCAACATTTCTTCTGAGGATTGCTCACACATTTTCCATCATAAAGTTTTTGGGCAAAATGCGTAAAATGCGTAGCAGGAGATCTAATGACAAGACCTTTTTTGAGTCAGTGGGATACAGAATCAGATGCATCCTTGCTTATTTGCTTCAGTGATCAAACCAGAAAGACTGGACAGCACACATAATCGAGCTAGGGAATATTCTTGAAGTTTGGATATATATGTGGGATTAGGAAGAATTAGGTTTGAATTTACATTTCGCTTGCTGATCTTACTGAAATATCTTTTTCACTATCCCTATCTCTGTTCCTGCATGGTTTCCAGTTCTTTGTCAGTAGCGTACAAATGTCTTCAAGGAAATGGATGACATGCAATCAGAATGTTGCTTTTTTTATTTTGTTGCAGAAATAAAACCAAAGAAAACTTTCTTGACAAAAGGTAATCCTACAATTCAACTGGTTTCATCCTATATGCAACAGCTGATGAGAATGAGAAACTTGGAGAAACTCCTAATCTGCAACTCAAACCACAGCATGACAAGTTTTGGTGTTTGTATTTTTTCTTGGATAAGGCAGGGTATTATAGGATTTCCCATAAGACTGTCACATGGGTGTATTTTATTACTTTATTTTCCTGTATTTCCTGCACTAATACTTGATATTCCTATCATAGTTATTGTATGGATTCCAATGGCTAAGTGTATAACCTCAAATATCAAATAGATTATTCAAGGAATGGCATCTCGCAATGGCTGTTTGTAATTTAGCTCTAACATTTCTTATTTTCTCACAATTTGCCTTGTGACCACACTAACGTAGACACTGAGAGTGCAATTCATTTTTTAGACTGTACTTCACCATTTGAGGTGCTGTAGGGTACTCTACCTGGAGTCAATCAGCCACTCCACAAGAACATGGAAATTTTTGAGCATCCTCTGTCATATTTTCAGGCCCACACAGATGTCTCAGTTACTGCAGCACCTCAGAAGGTACTGGATTTCTGTGTTTAGGCAAATTAATCCTGCCTTACTTTTGGTCATCTGATCAACCCTGTTGGCTCCTGAGTAGACCTCTGTGGAATAAAACAGAGCAAATACAGGCAATGTAGACACTAAAATTTAGATCTGAATCTGGAACTGACTCTCGCCTTTATATTCCAATAACTTCCTGATTACCCTGGAAAATTCAATAGCTTATGGTTACTACTCATGTTTCACAGCCTACTTCCAGTTCTCAAGCAGTTCAGCTGACTATAGATGGTGTCAGATTTTAATTGCCTTCTTTCTTTCTGCTTCTAAATGCTAACGCTACAAATGGACCATATAAGAATATACAGAATGAAAACAGAAGGTGTGCCATATGTTTGACAACAGAATGCAACATATTTATCCTGCTCTTACTCGCTATAATATTCTCATTATTTTTTCCTAGTATTATATGTCCTTTCTGCTGCACATGTATACATGTAGTCCATCTGGTTTGTCATTCATCTCTGCATATCAGTTCATTTACAGTACACTCAAAATATACGAAGAATATTAATTTTATCTCAAAGTTTTTCAGCAATTTAGTATCTAATAAAGTTAAAAAGACACACAGTTTATGCAAATTTACATCAATATATTTAAAATGCATAGTTAGAGTATGTCTTCATACAATTTTTCACAACCAAGCAGAAGGTTTTTTCATACTTTTTAAATCTAATATCCTTTAGGTCAGTATTCATCCAGAAGAAATATATCTGGTATGGATATTTTGGAAGATTTTATCAGTCTTGCAGAGAAATTACTAAAATAATGGAGAGTAGATTTATTTTTTTAATTTGGCTATAAATTTGCCAGACCTAAAGAATATGTCCTGCTCTTTTCTGATGATCTACACAAAAATTTTTTAGCAGTTCACCTGTTCATTCACTCTGGAGTGTGATGGCCCATGATGGATAAGGATCTTCACAATGTCTACATCTCCTCTCCAAGCAGCCAAGTGAATAGGAAAATAACCTTTATTATCTGCCACATTAGTTGATGCTTCATACTGAAGTAATTTGAGAACTATATCCCTGGAAAACAGGAAGTAAATCTAAAAATTGATGGGAATTTGTTTTATTAATTTTTTACATGAACTTATTACAAAAAATGAACATATTACCAAAATTTTTACCCTGAATAACGGAAAAAAAACCTGTATTTCAAGTGAAGCTGCTACAAAAATGAAGACCAATCCTTTTTAACAATAAAATAGATAGTAAAACATAGCCAAAATGTTATTCATTGTATATGATTCTTACTTCGTATGAATACTAATCAACAATATTATCATCAGTTCTCTGAATCTGTTTCTTTCAACAGGATCACCTGGCCATGGAATCATTCTTAGAATTTGCCAGTCAAGGCCACGTGCATGTCCCTCAAAACAAGCCTTCCAGGCATTAAAGGCAGAGAAGTACTAAGTACTCCTATCCCCATCATTGCTGAGTTCTGGAGGCAGAGAAGCAAAAGGGTAGCTTTATCAACACAATTCTTGCCTTAAGGCTTAAAAGTAACAGGTTTTCTTCTTTAAGGCATTATGTCAAAGAGTTCTTTTGGAACAATGTAATGATGATCTAGTTAGACATATACTATCTTCTTTGGAATAACTGCTTCTATTTTCATTTTGACACCCAGCTTCCTGAAAGCTGTGAGGAAAAAGTGATTTTCATTATTTTAATTCTTATCATATTCCTTTCAGTATTTTCAGTGTGGCTTATCATACATTAAATGAAAGATTAGTGTAAACTGGCATATTGCTCCCTTGATTTTTAAACAGTCTCCTGTACTTAACTACAAAGGTTAAACTTAAAAATCAACCATGTGATATGATCATTGGTTATCAAGTATGTCAAAAAGTAAATCAATTCTGTCTTATCTCTCCATTTGTCTTCTCATAGTTTCACACAGTCAGGCCTCATTAGTTATGAAGTTAATATCATCATGATCCAGTGTGGGCAGTTTGATGCACATTTTTGCTGAATATGGAAACACCGGCTCTTACCAATTTTACACAAAAAATCGGGGGGAGGGTGTGGAAGGAGCTCAGTACAGCCTATATTATGACTATAAACAAAGGCCTTGACTACAAATTAAGACAGAAGGTAAATCCTTAGGTAATTGTTCTCCCAGCCTTGAGGGAAACTTATTTAATTGCCTATTGAGAGAAAAACGCGGCAAGCAAGGATTGAATACATCCAGGCCAAAGGAAACTCTCAATCGTCTCCAAAAGAAATCATAGAGATATTGGAGTCATTACATCTAAGCTTTAAGGGAGACTTTAAGCTGGATTTTGCTTAGTCCTGACAAGGTCAAATAACAGAAAAACAACCAAGAAAGAGCAGCTCCAGTACATAAAGACTTATGCTACACCAAAAGTTACAGAATAGTAACTCCTGAGACATTTTAGTACTAATAAGGTTTGAGAGACTTCTTATGTCATAATAGTTGGTCTTGCAATAGATGGTCTAATGAAGGCTAGAGAAAGTTTGAAAGGTACACAAATTGAAGGAAACAGAAATTGAAACGTGGGGAAACAAAAAAAAAACTGAAAAAAAACCCTCCACAACTTAATTCTATTGGTGATGATATATAGCAACTATTGGGAAGAGTCTGTTGTGACATTCAAGCTACAAAATAGAACCTAGGTCTCCTTCATCCTTCAAGAATGCCCTGACCTATCACACTTCTCTAGGGTGAGTCTTTTTTAGTGCTCTGTCAGAACTTTTTCATTTTGTAGAAATAAATCTCCAAGAGGAAAAGACTGAGAGTCCTTAGCCCAGTAACATTACTGGGCTAAGTGAAATTACTTAGGGAGACAGAGATTCAAGTCCCTGCCCCAGATATGACTTAATTACTTACATAAAGCAGAATAATTTCAAAAACGAAAGATAACTATCCCAGAATAACTATGGAGGAGGGAATTCATCACATACAATGATCAAGCAGAAACTTGAATACAGGTGTTCAACAAATATCCCAGCCACAAATTATTGATTGGGTCATTAAGTCTTATGTTCTCAGTTTACCTGAAAAACTTTGAAATGTCTCAAGTTCATCCTAATGTAAAGTGTGAAAAATTAGAACCCCAGAAGTTTTCAAAGGACAAGAATTTCTCCTAAGTGGGAAGGCTCTCATGTCAACAAATTGTACCCAATGTTGATTTTAAATATCAAGTTGCAAGTCTGAAACAAAGTGTAAAGCTATTTATTTGTTATTTGTGGTGACAAATAAACTACAACCACAGGCATCTGTCCAATTCTCTTGTTGACAGTGCTACCACTATTGTAGCAGGATCAGCATGATGGCTTGGACAGCAGATCCTGAACCATCATGATTTATCATGAAAAACCTCATGATGTATTTCGATTTACTTTACTATGATAAGCTATAAATGTGATGTCAGTAACCCTGCTGTGAGGGTAACGGGTCATAGCAGCCAGTGGCCATTGCGACCTTTTCAAGAGCAGCAGTTGTATCTGCTGCAGTACATAAGTCCATATCTTGAAGTTCTCTCTAACTTCAGTAGAAGTTTGGCCAACACTGTGCCTAAAAAGGTTTTTGGCTGTTGTATGTTTTGGGATTTTATAGCTTATATTGCTAGGATTCACTTGAAATCTCTGATAAATTCAGTGTTTATACAGCAATATTTTTACTTTACTGGGTAACTATTGGTTTATAGTCAGTATTAAACATCCTAAAACCAGTTTTCGTCTATTTAAAATCAGCAATCTTTGCAAGTTAAGGTTTGGGCTTTTGTCAATCAAAAATGTGCAAAGGGCACAAGAAATGATCCATAAACAAGAGAAATAGGATTTTCTTCCTTTTTTAAAAAAGGCTGAGTTTAATAGACCATATTAAGGACTTAGACTTAATTTCACGGAGGTGAAATATATTAATGGATGGTTCTGAATCTTGCTACACGACTGAAGTTTTGGAAAATGCACAATATCTTATTTAACAGTATTTTAACTTCCCTTATTTGTTCAGAAAAAGAATATCCTATATTCACCAAAAGATTAATCTCATCTAAAGAAAATATGCAAGTTTGTAGAATACAATTAAAGACGTCCTAAAGTCTTAATTTTTCCAAGGAAGAATGCAAAAATTGTGAAATGAGTAAACTAAACATATAAGTACTATGGATTCATATGTTATCTTATGGGCAGTCCAAAATTCTGTTAAAGTTAGTGCAAATCACTCTTATATCAGTTGGGTTTTGATCAGTTCCTTAGCTCCCACAGAGGAATAACCCAAAGCCTTACCTTAAAATTTTCCTTAGTGAAAACCCAGGCAGTGTTAACATCATCAGTTTAAAAACAAGACAGCTGGACTGCATTAAGAGGGGCAGCTCTTACCTTGGTTACAGTGGGGTCCATCCCACTAGAACTTTATAGAAATCATTAAACTCTTTCTTTCTTATTCTGCCTTAATAACAATATGCAGATGGCAGCATAACACAATGGAAGTAACATGTAGCAAGGAGCAACATAATAACAGAGGTAACACAGAACAAATTACAAGGTACAGTAACAAAATATTTAGCCAGTTTCCATTTTTTTACTGACATGTCAATGCCTTAAAGAGTCCACCTGCACTGATATGCCTGTGCAGTACCCCTCAGTGGGGGTTTTGCAGGCTTTTCCCAAGCTTGTCGAGACATGCATGTGGTAACTTGGATGGACAGCAGGGAGGTAAAAGCTACAAGGTCCCATGCAAGGTAACGGCTGGGTTTTTTTCTGCTTTCAAGTGTCTAACTACTAAATATTTTTCCCATGCCTTTTTACTTTGATAATGATTAATCTATATTATTCTTTTATTCCACAATATTGTTTCCTTAAACATTCAACGCACTATACATTTGTACATACACACACAAGTATACTACAGTTTTCTGCTGTAATTTCCCACCAGCAAAAAAGCACTAGAGCCACCACTTGCAATAACAATAATAAACTTACTCAAAATCAAGCAAGAGTTTGGAAGAACTACTATAGAATCAAAAACTTCTGAACTGCATTTCCCATTTTTTATTACTACATGCTGATATAAATGACAGTGTCAAAAATCCTTATATTTATATATCCCAAAGGAAATAAGATTATTTTAGTAAGCCAGGGTTTGTCAACCTTCTGTGAAAATCGCAATGCTACATATTTTTAAGTTACACAGTTAAATACCATTCTACGTAAAAACCAAACATGAGGCACTTACTTGTGTCCATTTAAAGCTGCATGATGTAAAGCAGTATAACCTGAACTGTCTGTGCAGTTTATATTTGGTCCTCGCCAGATGCTGCAAATAAAGCACAATTGTAAAGTTATTTTTTTGGCTGGGCAAGTAAAGAAATGTCAGAATTTGATGTATAAATAATCTAAAGATCACCGCAAGAAGTGTGATTAAGAGACAAATTATCTTGAAAAGAACTTAAAATGTCATGTTGATATCAATATAATTTATAAAAATAATTTTACAGATTGATCTTTATAGCAGTCACGAAATTTATGTAGGGCAGTCTCAAAGACTAATAACTATTCTGTCATTTCAATTAGATCTTTTCTTCCAGTATTACTGTGGTAATTACACTGAGGTTATAGTCTGATTTTGCACTACTTTTTTCACAAGTATATATTCATTGACTTTAGGTCAGTTAGTCTAGATTCATATAAATGTAAGATTAGTGAGATCCAATTATATCCTTTAAAGAGATGGTAAGTTCATTCTTTTTACTTGGCCTGATATTTTAGCTCCCATTTTAACCAATTATATTTTTAAATAATTTACATATATATAAACCAAAAGTTTAATAAATGATGCTTCCATTTTTTGTGATCTTTCTGTATTTTACCGTAGCTTCACTATGTGTCCTGTGTAACCAGTTTCACAATCTATTATGGACTGTTCATGAAACAGTAAAGGAGACTTTTTGTTTTTTTGTTTCAAAGTAGAAAAATATGACTGTTAATCTACAAAAAAAAAAAAAAAAAAAAAAAGGAAAAAACGCCAAAGCCCAGAAATTGGATACCAGAGGTATATTGAGTACCTGCAGGTTTTTTGCTAACTGACTACATTTGAAGCTGACTGTATCCTTTGTGGAAGAAATTCTGTACCTATTTTTGTATTCTGTAACACAGTTTTCAATCATTAATGTTACAACTTGTAAGACACAAGATTATGAGTCCTGAACTACCATCTGTTTTCCTCAGCTTCTAATACAGTGTTAAACAGTCATTGATAAACAATATTTTCCCTTCCCTTCATACCTTAGAATCAAGAGCTGCAGTTTAAAGAAAATAATCTGAAACGAATAAGTAAAAAGGGTTCTTCATACTGACATTTTTCATTATCTACATCAATAAAATGACATACTATGTTTAACATATGCTTTTTGAGAATTCTTTACTACTGAATCTGTATTTTATTACCAACAGAAAACTGGTGTTGCAGACTGGTCTCTTTTTCATTGTGTATGTTTGAATGATTAATTGGCTCGTAAATTTAAACAGTTGTTTTCCCATAAGCAATACTGCATGCATACAGAATTATTTGTGTGTCACATTGTGTTCGGCAGTGAGCGTAGTTCACCTCTCCCTGCAATTTAATTTCTTGGAAGAACTGGATTGAAATACTTTCTTGGGTGCAAAGAAGCAAAAAATGAAGTTTCGTTTTTTTTTTTTAATCTGCTCAGAAGTCTACAGATATTCTTTTCTACAGAAGGCAACTTCCAGCTATGAAAGTTACTCTAATTTTTCCAATTAAAAGTAATTATTTTAACTTCATGAACAATAGCTCTTCCATAATAGACATGTTATTTATGTTGCAAAGACAGGCTCTCCCTATCTATTGGAAGGAAAGAAGTCCTTAACTATCAATATTCTATAACTTCTTTTATACTTTTGCATAATACTTTATTAGTTATTTTCTTATTTTTGGATTCTATTTTCTTTCGTTGATTTGTACCAGCTTAGAGGAGAATGAAGCAGAAAATTGAAAGCGGTATAGAAACTCATACTTTAAATATTAAAATAAATGGCCAGAATATTAATTTACTTGGTTTTGCCTGCTTGCTTGCTTGCTTTGGTTTACAGTTGTTAGGATTTGCCTGTTGGTTGTTTTTTTCAAAATGCAAGGGATCCATGAATTCATATATTATTCCTGATACATTAGGCTTTCAAAAAAATCATGTAAAAAAACCCAAAAGAAAAAAAAAAACAAAACCAAGAGCTAGTTCTTTTCCTCCCTAATTTTCTCCTTTAACTCAGACACTCTTTAATACATTGTTATACTTTCTGGCTCCGGTCTTAGGAAATATTTTTCAACTGAAACTATAGTGAATTTTTTTTTTAAAACTGAAACTTTATTAATGAGTATATAAATGCACCTATGTTAAGCTTCTCAGGACACTGAGGCTGGGAGACAAAGGAAAGCAAGTAAATCTTGATGATTCGGAGAGATGAGACAAAATGGACAGACTAACCACTTCCAGCTCCCAAATAGTACAGAAAGATATACTCAAAATCAGAACCTGGTTATCAAACTAAAGAACACAGGAGACATGAGCGGGACTTGGCTGCAGGCATTTCATTTCCCTTGGGCCAGTGCAGAAATCCCCTCCTAGGAGGTCTTGCATTGCTACAGTATTGCAACACGATTTCCTACAAAATGAATGCAGGTTTATTATATACACTGGATACTTACACTTTAATAATCGACAATCAAAGTCAAATTAGTCTGCAAAAAGATATTCTTACACCCTAAAACTCCCAGCTGTGGTGAAGAGTTCATCTAAATCTCTTCTCTTGTAATCAGAATACCACAAAGCAAAAGTATAGTGCTGTATTAGCTCCATAAAAAAACATCTAATTTTGTGGAAAAGCGGGGTAGAGAAAGAGAAAAAACCTAGAGAGGCCTTCTTTGGCATCATAAACACATACAGTATAGGAGCAATTATCAAACATATTGATTTATCTGAGTATTAAATCACTTCAATAGTCACTGTGAAAGCAACACTAAGGAGAATTTAGAACAAAACAAATTACCATTCAACCTCCAGAAAAGAAGATTTTGACAGAAGATTAGCAATTCTTTAGATTATTGTTAGTACTGAATGTTCTCAAAGACATTTTCTCTTCATTCTTTGATGCAGTCAATAATCAAAACTCTTGATTTTACATACATTAGTAAATTGGGATTTTTTTTCCTGTGTACATCTGTGAATTAGGAACATCTATCGATCACTTAATGAATTTCAAGAGAGTAATTGAACCTAATTTTTGTGAAAAAAAAAAAATCAGTTTTTAGTCAATGAACTAAAACTCTGAATCAAAACACTATCATCAATTATACATCAAAAAACATGATCATCAAAGTGACAGAGGAATCAACGAGGAGAGGTGCTATGCTGGACCTTTTGCTCACCCACGAGGAGGGTCTGATAGGGAATATGAAGTTCAAGGGCAGCCTTGGCTGCAGTGATCATGAAATGGTGGAGTTCATGATCCTTAGGACAGCAAGCAGGGTGCACAGCAAGCTCACTACCCTGGATTTCAGGAGAGCAGACTTTGGCCTCTTCAGAGATCAGCTTGGTAGAGTAACACGGGATAAAGCCCTGGAGGGAAGAGGGGCCCAAGAAAGCTGGTTAATATTCAAGGTCACCTCCTCCAAGCTTGGGACTGGTGCATCCCAACAAAGAGGAAGTCAGGCAAAAACACCAGGAGGCCTGCATGGATGAACAAAGAGCTCCTGGACAAACTCAAACACAAAAAGGAAGCCTCCACAGGGTGGAAGCAAGCAGAGGTGGCCTGGGAGGAATACAGAGAAATTGTCTGAACAACCAGAGATCAGGTTAGGAAAACTAAAGCCCTGACAGAGTTAAATCTGGCCAGGGATATCAAGGACAAGAAAAGCTTCTATAGGTACGTCTGTGATAAAAGGACTAGGAAAGATGTGGGCCCTCTATGGAAGGAAATGAGAGACCTGGTTACCCAGGATATGGAGAAGGCTGAGGTACTCAATGACTTCTTTGCCTCAGTCTTCACTGACAAGTGCTCCAGCCGCACAGCCCAAGTCACAGAAGGCAAAGGCAGGGACTGGGAGAATGAAGAACCGCCCACTGTAGAAGAATCATAGAATGGTTAGGGTTGGAAGGGACCTCAAAGATCATCTAGTTCCAACCTCCCTGCCATGGGCAGGGAAACCCTCCACTACACCAGGTTGCCCAAAGCCTCATCCAGCCTGGCCTTGAAAACTTCCAGGGATGGGCCATCTACAACTTCTCTGGGTAACCTGTTCCAGTGCCTCACCACCCTCAATGTAAAAAATTTCTTCCTTAGATCTAATCTAAATCTACCCTCTTTCAATTTAAAGCCATTGCGTCTTGTCCTATCACTACATGCCCTTGTAAAAAGTCCCTCTCCAGCTTTCCTGTAGGCCCCCTTTAAGTACTGGAAGGCTGCAATAAGATCACCCTGGAGCCTTCTCTTCTCCAGGCTGAACAGCCCCAACTCTCTCAGCCTGTCTTCATAGCAGAGGTGCTCCAGCCCTCAGATCATCTTTGTGGCCCTCCTCTGGACTCGCTCCATCAGCTCCATGTCCTTCTGTTGCTGGGGAATCCAGAGCTGAATGCAGTACTCCAGGTGGGGTCTCATGAGAGCAGAGTAGAGGGGCAGAATCACCTCCCTCGACCTGCTGGCCACACTTCTTTTGATGCAGCCCAGGATACAGTTGGCAAGTTGGCAAGAAGATCAAGTTTGAGACCATCTAAGGAACCTGAAGATGCACAAGTCCATGGGATCTGGTGAGACGGATCCTGAGGAAACTGGCAGAGGACATTGCTAGGCCACTATCCATCATATTTGAGAAGTCATGGCAGCCCAGTGAAGATCCCCCGGACTGGAAAAGGGGAAACATAGCCCCCATTTTTAAAAAAGGAAAAAAGGAGGACCCAAGGAAGTACAGGCCAGTCAGTCTCACCTCTGCCCAGCAAGATCATGGAGTCGATCCTCCTGGAAACTAGGCTAAGGTACATGGGAAAAAATGAGGTGATTGGTGACAGCCAACATGGCTTCACTAAGGGCAAATCATGCCTGACAAATTTGATAGCCTTCTGTGATGGGGTTACAGCGTTGGCGGATAAGGGAAGAGCAACTGACATCAGACTAGTCCAAAACATTTGACGTTGTCCCACATGACATCCTTGTCTCTAAATTGGAGAGACATGGATTTGACAGATGGACCACTCACTGGATAAGGAATTGGCTGGGTGGTCACACTCATAGAGTTGCGGTCAATGGCTCGATGTCCAAGTGGAGACCAGTGACGAGTGACATTACCTGGGGTTCGGTATTGCGGCCAGTGCTGTTTAATCAACAACACGGACAGTGGGATCAAGTGCACTCTCAGCAACTTTGCTGCTGATACCAAGCTGTGTGGTGTGGTTGACCCGCTGGAGGGAAGAGATGCCATCCAGAGGGAGTTTAAACCCTGTTGAGGGCTGAGACACTTCTAGTATATGTCTAGTTCTCACCTCTCCCACTCCTCTCCCCACCTTCTTTCCCAGGTCTTCAGTATCATCAGAAGCTCTTCCTAAAGGCCTCCTGGCTCTTCTGGACTATGGAAGTAGTGAATCTAATCTTGCCAGCTCAGTTTTAAAAGTGGGAAATCCTGAACTTCATCCTATTGCCATTGATGTCGGTGGCAAACACCAAACAGTTCAGATAAATTTAGTTTCTTTATTGTTCCTGTGATCCACAGAATAAATACGTATTACAGGAATTTGTATTGTTGCTCCTATATTCATTAGTGCTCTACCTATATTCATACACATTTTCAGTCATGTGAACTGAGCTTATAGAAAATATATGGACAATTCCACAGAGCATTTATGAAAATACAAACTTTTGCACAATAATATGTATCATTAATTATTCAGATAGAAAATAATAATGTTACTTATTATGAACATCAGCAAAACAGCTCCTATTCTTCATTTTATACACAAATAAATCAAATTGACAACGATGTTGCTCTAACCTGTATAAATTAATAATGTTACTTAACGAAAGATAGAAATACTTCATTTTAGTAAATGTGGTATTTTTTTTCATTCTACAATTCCTCTTTGATGGAATCCAGTGTTATTTAAAATATATTATCCTGTAAAAAGAATGTATGTCTTTTCCATGTATGGTTTGACCTATTATTTACACTACTTTGCTGAATTTGAAATATAGTTTCAAATTACTTCAACTAAAGCAAATTTAAATATTTGCATTTAGTGACAGTGGGAAAAAACTCTTTTAGAAAGTCATATTTTAAAGTATAATAAATAATTAATAAATAATAATAAGGTACTCAAAAGTGTTACATGGAAAAACAACATCCAAAAAATGCATTCTAGGATTCTTTTTGAGCAAGTTCAGCTATTGGTCTTAAATTGACAGAAGCAGACCACGTCTTTAGTAAGGCTACCTTAGATGTTTTTTCAGTATTAAAACCAGCTGTTGCATGCAGGTACTGAAAGTTAAAAATTCAAAATGAAAATAATCATAGTAATTTATTTTTCTTCAACTTAAAAAGGAGAAGGGCAGAGGGATTATCCATTCAATTAATATTAACTGTATTTTTAAAGCTTATTGTATATATAATTCCAATTGTTTATTTAAGTGCTTTTGTTGTATCAGTGTGAAATGTGACTCAAAGACATTTCATTTTTGAATGTGTGGAACATGCTCATCATGTTTTGATCCTGCTGTTTAGTTGTCTCAGTATAAATAATACAACAAAATTTGTGGACAACTAATTCATGAGATTAAGTATGTTATTCAAGTTCAGGCTCTAAAGCAGCTTATTCCACTTATTTTCTTTAACCTTGATCTGTTTACAGTCTTGGCCATAAATAGTGTAAGTCTGGAAAACCAGGGAACTTCACTGAACTGTGATTTTATTTCCATATTGATTCTGTTCAGTTGGTAAATGATTTCTGTTTAATATGAAATACTGAATATAGTAAACATTATGAGTTTGAATATATATTATACAACATTTACTTATTACTATATTTAGATTGGCTCCTATACAAATAGGTCTCAGTCCTACACAGTGGTCTGATAATGAGGTAGAGTTATGTACAATAAGCTACTTCCTCCTTCAACAGCTTACAAAAAGATTTACTTATCTCATTGATCAAAATAGAGAAGACAACTATAGGTTGTTCTTCCTCTTCATAGGTGTATGATCAAGTTAATCCAACAAATCGTCTATCAGCAAAGGGCCAGAGTTTTACAAGATCGTTACCTGTACAAGGTCTACAGGTGTGGCCTATACTCCGTAAGTTTGAGATTTGTCATAGTAACATGAAATTACTATTGTAATGAAGTGCAGACAATAAGTAAAGTAAACCCAGTCTCCACCTTTCTTTGGCAGTGAAGATTTCCAGAGGTAAAGGAAATTCTCCTGAGCAGTTCATGTGTGAGAAACAAAGATCCTTCTATCAACGAATTATGCACTTCAACTTGGAAACTTGAAGAACAAGTGGGATAAGCTAAGAAAGGAGCATACGGAGCACCATTTGATTTCTCATTAGGGAGACATAGTAGACATTCACAAAAAATACTACAGGGATGCTTCCCGTCTATCTGTGATTCTATGTCTCTCTGAAAGGCAGAGAAGGGTTTCTTACTGCCAGCTGTTGTAGAAGTCTCCTTTGAATGTTAAATGAGAACAGAAATGTGAAGACAAATTAGAAAAAGAAGAGTCACTCACTCCCATCTAGCCTATCTAAGGCATGGGCAACAATAGCTACCTAATAATGCTCAACTTCACAGAGC